AATGCTTGTTAGATGATTTTTCTTAATCCATCGATAATAAAAAAATATTAAATTTAAAAAAAATAGTTAGTGCATTTCGACAAATATAAACTAAATATAAAAATATGAAACATAAAAACATATAATTCTTTACCAACAACATTTAGTAAATATTTGATCATTATTAATTTCACCAATTCATGCTTTTTAAATAGCACAGCAATTTACGTTTTACATACGGATAATATTTCTTATTATGAATAATGAACTCTGAAAATGTTAAATTAGAAATTGATATGGAGCATAATAAATTGTTGCGCATTTAAATATGCAATTCCCGTTATGAATTTGAAATTATCAAATACATCAAATATAACGTAGCTTCATTCCAAAACGTTTTGTATAGAGTTATAAGTATATTTAAATGTCAAAATATTATAAAAAATAATATCATTGACGTACTATAACATTACACAAGCAAAAATATGATAAATAATTACTCAATTTTTTTATTGTTGTTTGAACATTATCTTTACAAATGATTTACAAGAATTTCTTTTCTTTTCTTGGTTTCAGCTATTTTCATAACAAATAATGTAATAAAAAATCAAAAATATGTCATTATTTCTCTTATTTCTCAAAACACATAGTATGGTTTTTTCACCTTCAGCAGCTTTGATATTTTTATCAAAATACTCCCTCCTATTTTTCTAATATTGAATTTAATTATAATTATATATGATTAGGATTTTTTTTCTTCAAAAAAATCAGTAATTTTTTTAAAAAATTTCATAAGTCATTTTATTTCTCCTATAATTTTTCCCTTCTCTCACTCACTATATCTCTTTCTAAAATGAATATGAAATATGAGTATGTTATTAGATAGATAATAAAATATTTTAAACAATGTATCATTGGTTGCACAAGCAACAATAAATTAAATAATGACTAGAGCACATTATAAATGAATATTTTTGCCAATGATTGCAAAGGCATTTTTTTTATTTCAGTATCGTTATTTTCCTAACTGCTACTGTATTTTCAGTAGGTAAGGGTTAGTAAGGTTATTTTCATTAATTAAGGGTCAGTAAGGTTATTTTCATAGCAAATAATGTAATAAAAATATCACAATATTTTTTTCAACTCTAACTTTGATTTTCATTTTTCTTTAAATATTCTCTCTAATTGAATTCACCTATTCTTTCAACATTAAATTGAATCATAATTGCATGCTCTTCAATCTTTTCCTAAAAGATTTCTTAGTAATTTTGTAAAGTAAATCTGTAAAGTAAATTTGTAAAGTTTTGTAAAGTAAAGTAATTTTGTAAAGTTAATTTTTACTAATGATTTAAAGGGAATTTTTTCAGTATTGATTTTTCAATAACAAATAAAGTAATAAAAATATCACAATTTTACTCGTTTCTTAAAATACATCGCATGATTTCTTTTTCAACTTCAGTTGGTTCTTTCTTTTTTATTTAAATACTCTGTCTAATTTCTTCCATATCTTACTCGAATATTGAATTTAATTATAATTATATATCATTCAGTTTTTTTCCTAAAATTTTTATGAGTAATTTTGTAAAGTAATTACATAAATCATTTTATTTCGCCAGTAATTACTTAAGTTATTTTTCTTAAAAACGTTTATGAGAAATCTGAAGACTTTGAAAGCGGGAAATATAATTTGTAAATAAGAAAGATATGTAAAAAAAGGTTATTTACTTGACACTTTTAATTTTGGGTAATTGAAAAGATAACTTATGTCTTTTTTGTTAAAGTTCATTAAACAATCATTTTTCAAAGTTTTTATTTCAGTTAAACTTTTTTCGAGAGATATAAGGCTACAGTATTATTACTACTTTTTTACGCAGCTCCAAAATTAAAACATTTAAGTGATTAACATCATTTTGAAGGAGCAATGTTAAAAAGATTTTTATTGATTCGAACAAGATTCCTATTTTAATTGTTTCAAAATATAAGGGGGGAAAAATGAAGCAAAAATAATAACGACGAATATTTAAATAATATTTACGCACTAACCATTTTTTAACGACATTATTAAATTGAATGCATTTCAAAATAAAATATGAGAAATAGCACCATGTTTTTTTAGTTATCTTTTTCTTCCAAGCATTTAATAGAGTCGAATTAAAGCATTTAGTTATTCTTACTGTTATGGCAAGGAAGTTGGTGCTTAAAGTCCACCCAATGCGCTGCAATCGATGATTTGTGCCATGTTTTAATTATTTTTTTAATTTAGGCAAATTATATATATATATATATATATATACACCGAAGAGCCATTACATTATGACCACCCTGCTAATAACATGTAGGACCACCTTTAGCCCTCAAAACTGCTAGCACCCACCGTGGCATTGATTCCACAAGGTGCTGATCGGTGGTTTGAGATATCTGGTACCAAGCGCTCGCCAACTGGTCCTGCAATTCCCACACATTGCGAGGGGGTAGCGTGGCAGCACGGATTTGGTTTTCCAAGTAGGACCACAAATGCTCTATAATTAAGGCCAGGTGAATTTGGGGAGACATGAATTGAAAGTCACTGGATTGTTCCTCGAACCAATCCATGACGATTCGACCCTTATGACATGGTGCATTATCCTGTTGGTAAACACCATCCTCCGCAGGACAAACTGTTTCCACGAATGGGTGAACCTGGTCTGCAACTATGTTCGAGTAGCTTACAGACGTCAGGGATTGTTCTATGAGGATTATGGGTCCTAATGTGCCCCATGAAAACATTGTTCCTGGGCGAGAAACCATGAAAACCTGGGCGAGCCCATTGTTATAGATGGAGGGTGGTCATAATGNTATATATATATATGAATGAATGAATGATTATATTATTGCAATCATCTTCTGTGATAATTATAATGATTTTCTTCTGTGATTTTCCTAATATGAGACGTTTCTATAATCACTAAAATATTACTTGGAGCATTCTGCTTTTTTGCTTTTCAAATGTTTAATTTTAGCAAGATGAAAATAAAATATTTTCATTTTCACTTTGTCAAGTAAACCGCGAGAAATACTTTGAGTTGCAATACGAACCTTTAAAACGGTACATAAAATTAAGCCAAATAACTTCCTTTTTGTGATAACAAAATTAATATCGAGGATAATTCCTTTGCATATAAAAAAATAAATTAGCATACCAGAATAAAAATAACCCAAATCGAACAAAAAATATGTATGACGGGAACTCGTTATTAGACTTTACTTTTAGACATAACGAACCCTACGGATGATGAAGAATAGAGTATATTATTGCAATTATCTTCTTCTGTGTGGAAACGATAAAACGAATTGATTGCCACGTACTCAATTTAATGACATTTTTGGTAGCAGTAGTGGGTAGCCATTGAGACCAGAGTAAAGGGGAAAAAATCCTTAACACGTGCCCGAATCATCAGATGCATTAAGTGATTAAGTACTTTCTTTAACCTGGTGATTTCCTGCTTGAATATATCATTTTCTTTTAGAAAACTGCTTTGTAGAAAATTGTTCCAAAGCAATGGAGAAGGAAGATCCCATTAATCATTGTATACGTCACGTCTATGGTAAGAAAGGGGAGACGGGAAGAAAAAAAAAGTGAGATGGGGAAGGATTTTTATACTTTTTCCAGAAGGATGCATTCATTAAAATATTGAGTTAGTTTTTGGTTTCCGCCTGGTCAGCATAAACTCTTATTAGACGCTATGATTAAAGAATGATTGTCTTTTAATGAGAATTTAATTGTTGGAAGAAGTGTACCAACTGTAGCGTAAGCAAGCTTATAATAAAATAAACAAAGCTCTCTGCCCAGTATTAAATGATCTCAAAAACTTTAAATTGAGAACAATATATCTTGGGAATGTATTCTCGGGTAGTTAATGGCTTAGCGTAATTTTGTCTAATTATGCTACAAGAAGTTTTGTTGCACCACTTAAAGTAATAAAATATTAAGGTTATACTTTTTGAGTTTTATTTTTCTGACATTTGATTTTTTTTCCTAAATAAATAAATAAACACGTACTTTACTTTTTAAACGTGAAATTTATAATTTTGGTCCATATTTATTATGCACAAAATATAACAGTAAGTATTTTTGTTTCCTTTAAGCACAAATAATCATCTTTTGAGTAATTGATGTTCAGCTGATTAAAATTTCCTTCCCCTTAAAAATATATGAATAGGAAATAAAATTTAACATGTTTCAAGCACTCAAAAATAACCACCCATTTTCAAGACTTTCTAGATGTGAATAAAAAGAAACAAAAGTGATTTTAAATATAAAGCACAAAGTGGCCAACGAAAAATGGAAAAATAAAGGTGAGAAACAAAAGCAGAAAAACCCCAGTAGACAAGTGGGAGAAATACGAGTAAATTGGATTTCCATGCGCTATGAGCTGATACCTGTGTTAATAACGTTAATTCCTCACCACCTCTTTATAGTGGATGGAAGTGCATTTTACTCTGATTTGTTCCTCTCTGTCACTGTGGTTTTTCTTGCTATGTTTTTCACTTTTTTTTCTGCATTTATCATCAATTTCGATTTTTAGTCTAGTTTTGATTCTCCCTTTAATGTTTTTTGCTTCACTTTTTGTTAACAACCTTAAGTTTCATATTTCAAATCACTTTTGTTTCTCTTCATTCACGTCAGGCAAGCCTTGAAAATAGGTGCCTGTTTTTGAACGCTTGAAACATGTTGACTGTTATTTTCTATTTATATGTTTTTCAAATGTATAAAGTTTTTAATTAGGTAATATCTTACTGACTTAGATTGTCTGGATTACTTATTTATTTTGATAAAAAAAAGTTTAAGTTTTGTTTTAAAATTAGAATATATTTTAAAACATAAATATCTGAATAAATTGCCTGTTTCCTTATAGTGAAATAAGTATAAAAACTCAAATGCTTACTCAAGAAATTACATTTAAAAAAAAAATAACCGTGGTTTAAAAAAATAACCCATTAAGCTCTCCAAACATAAACCTGAACATATGTATTTCTTACAGGCAAACCCGATACGCCGGAAGAATTTCAAGCTCAAAATGTTACATCCGATCGAGTGTTACTGAGCTGGTCGCCAGGATTTGACGGAGGCTCTCCACAGTTTTTTCGAATCCGATACTCGATAAGAGGCTCAGAAGAAGTTACCACTGTAGACGTTTTACCAACTAATGCAACAACGTTCATGGTGATGGGACTTGAACCTGGTACCGAATATTCATTTCAATTAATGGCCTGGAATATATATGGAGAAAGCGATTACACGGAAAATGAAGTTTTTGCGCATACCACGGGTAAGTTTAGAAACCAATCTTTGATTTTAAAAAATAGCACATGGGTCTTTTTCATGGGTTATGGGCAAGAGTCAGTAATTTATCTTAAGTGAGCATCTGAAAACAATGCTGGCGCATGCGCTCAGTGCACTACTGCAATTTAAGTTGAAATTTTTGAGCATACCACGGGTAAGATTAGAAACCAATCTTTGATAAAAATAGCACATGAGTCTTTTTCATGGGCTATGGGCAAGAGTCAGTAATTTATCTTAAACGATAATCTGAAAACAATGCTTGCGCATGCGCTCAGTGCACTACAGCAATTTAAGTCGTAAAGGCTTGTGTTAGGTTTAATCACCAATCACAGGTAAGATTGACCACTGAAATGCAAAAAATTTCGGATCAAATTGCGATAAATAAAATAGCTATAAACACTCAAGGTTTCGGCACATTTTACAATAATACCCTGTCTTACCAGAACATGTTGGGGGACAAAAAAAACCTGATATACTGTATTTTTGCAGTAATAATTACAGTAAAAAAACTGCATCACTTTAATTAAATAAATATTACAGTAAAAATTACGGTATAATATTTTACGTTAAAGACAGACAGATGATGCACCCAAAGTGTCGGTACGTAATATAGTAATTTGATCTGGAATTCTTACCCCAGTTTTATCAAATCTTTTTCTTGATTAAAATTGGTGTTTTCTAAATAGACCTTGCAGGTTTAAAAATACAGGAAACATACAAAAAATATTTATTTAAAATTACATTTATTGAAGTTTTATAGTGATCGAATATGCAAAATGAATATTTAAAACTATTATTTATTTATTTATTTTTTTGCACTTTAAGACATATATAAATTAATTTTTAAAAAAGAAAGTCTATTAAATAAATTAAATAAATTTAATTTTTGTCAGAAAATATTTCTTTTTTGTTCAAAACCTTGATGCTAATAATATTTAGATTCAGTTGCATTTAATGCATCGAAAGTATAATTTGTTTGAATTTTGACGAGAATAAATACTTTTTGTTTCCTGTTAAAGTTATAGATAAATTGCACAAAATCATATATTATATAAAATTATATGCATTTTGCAGAAAATAATATTTCAGCTAGTAAAAAATTTTACGGAAATTCATGAAATCTACTTAACTTCTAGCAAGAATTGATAGATTTTCAAACACCATTAACTACTTTATGATAACTATAAAAAGCACAGAATTGGGCTAAAAAAAAGATGGATCTTTTCTGCTTTGAATTAAATGTGTTAAATGCTTCATTTCTTAATATAGTTTCCTAAGTATCCTTTTTAAGTTAAAAACTTACAAAACTTTTAGTAAAGAAAGTTGAAGGCACAAAAGATGACTTCTTCTCGATTTAGACAGTTTCATACGAAAGGTAACATTCCGGCTCGATTTTCCCTTTAACTTTTCTGCTCGAGGGGGAAAATACAGGTACTGTCCGGAAGTAACTATCGTTAAACTTGAAGATACTTAAAACTTTCTTACTTGTTTGAAAGATTCTTGCTCCTTTTTTTTTCTTCATTCTGCTGAGATTTCATTTAATAAATATTGATATCAGTTATAGCTATGCATTCTTATTCTGTTCTGATTGTTGTTTCATTTTCCACAAGTCACTTTGTTGAAAATAAAAATAACGAATCTAGATTTTTTAATTATTGCATAAATTCATGTCATTTATTAAAAGTCGTAATCAGACATTTAATATAGAGCTTTTCTTAGATGGGAAGCTGAATTTTGTACCTAAAATTCGTATTTTAAATTTAAATGCGATACAATAAGTTAGTCGAAGCCAGGTATTCTTTGAGAATAGATGGTAAATTAACCAATCTTCCTAAATTCTCCTTTTACAGTTTTCTGTTCAAGAGGAAACTGCAGAGCTACAACTCAGAAAAATAGATCATTAAATTTGTTAGATACTTCAATACTTTACTACCAATTGAAAAAAAAAGGAACATAACTTATTTTTCTTCTTTTACCTAAGCCTTAAATTACATTGCACAACCTAAGCAAGTGTTCCATAAATGAATTTATTGTATATTTTTGACTTAAAAATAACCAATCTTCAGTTATTTTACTAAGCACCAATTTCTCAAAAATCTAAATATTTGCTTGGTGACTTTACATATTTAAACAGCACACAATAAAAACATGCATTAATTTAATGTATATTTTTATTGCGAGATGATTCTAGTCTTTGTAAATCCAGCGGGTCAAGCCATGGTGGCTCAGGGGATAGAGCGTTCACCTTCCATTGAGGTGAACCGGATTCGAATCCGAGCAATGGCTGGTCGATACGGATTTCAGACCAGGCTCGCACCGACCACAGTGCTGCCGTAAAATATCCTCAGTGGTTGACGGATCATGGTTAGAATCCCTTTGTCTTTGCTCTAACCGAGTCAGATTTTCATGGTTTTCTTCAGCATGCAATAAAAATGCAGTTCCGCACGAATTCCTCCACGAAGGCTAGTTTGTCCCAACGCTTGTTACCTTGTCTTCGGGGTTGGGATCAAAATTACAAGGCTACGGAGTTGAACACGAGCAGTCGTAAATTCAAAATTGAGTCGACTGTTAAACGACGGTTATAAAATAAATTAAAAATCCAGCTGGTCAAACCTGTCAACCCACTTGACATCACTATTTAATTAACGTTCATGGATAGCCTTAAATTAGACCCTAACAAGTCTCGAAATTAACCAAATATCAAACGACTACTAATACCGTATTATAAACTCAACAACCAGAGTGTCAACGTCAGCAATGGTGAAACACTCAAAGAAAAAGAAATTCCCACGAACAGTAAGGTTGTCACATAGAATGCAACTCCGGTACGTGCGAAGAAAACCTAATTCAAAAAAAGGTCGTAGTTCTTCAAGTGAAAATTGCAACCCTATAGCGAAAGTGTTCGGGTGTTTGCAAAATCTCCAGAGAGCAGTTCGATCATAAGCAAGCGCCTGGCCGGTCCTCGATAATGGTATTAGGCTTATCTTTTGGAGGGCGTATGTGCAAAATCCACCTCCTCCCCCTGGAGCAGCCCCAAACTCAGTTTATGTCACACTGACATGCGTCTTCCAAAGTATCAGAAAAGGCATTATTTTTATTTCTTTAGTCATTCATAGAAAGAAGGGCGTTCCTATTTTCCAGGAAGTAAGCTGTGCGGATGATTAGATGCGTTAGTTTCTTTGACGTTGAAGTCCGCTTTAGCTTGATAGAATTCAAAATGAGTTTTGGATATATTTCAGTGTCATATTTTTTTCAGTTTTAGTTCTAAAAGTTTAACATTTTTAATGTTTTGCTTAATAATATATAGTTCTTGTTTAGGACAAAATTTTAACAATGCATGGAAAAAAAATATTTTTTTTAAAAAATCAACTAGATTATCTAAGGTTTTATTTCGTATTTCATTTTTAAAATGATGAATTCATAATAAATACCTTATTATGAATTCATCATTAATAATGTTTTTTTTAAAAAACCAACTAGATTATCTAAGGTTTCGTTTCGTATTTCTTTTTTAAAATGATGAATTCATAATAAATACCATGTAATAATTTCCCTATTGAATTAGTTATAACTTTTACTGTGAAGATTAAATGTATTATCTTCTTTATGGTTCAAATAAAAAATCGATTGCAATGAATTTGTTAAAACTCAAAATGAATTTAGCTATACTTTCGCATTTTTGATTGGAAATGTAGAGGAATAGCATTTTTAAAATTTTGTTATAGGAATTTTATTTTAGAATAATATTTATCATTCCACTCTCATTAATTTTCAGAAAATATATAAGCGCAAAAAAATCTTTTAACCACAAAAAACATTGGAGAAAACAGTTAAATTAACAAAAACTAATATTTAACAATTGGACAAATTACTTCTTTGTTCAAGAAATAGTTTAAAAGTAGCCATTGAAACTTTAGACCGATTAGTTATATGTTGCACATTATCTTAATTGGAGATTGAGAAAGTAATTAAGATTTAATTCTTAGAACCTATTTCAACAGTACTTTATTAAATAAGAAAATATTTTTCCTTTTCATGTACAAGTTTTCGCAATTAAAAACAAATTATAAAGTTCGTACAATTCACCTGAAAAATCTGCCATTAAGAATAATCTTAAGCTCATTTTCTTTATTGTTATTTTATATTTATTTTTCCTTAGCTTTCGCAGTATAATTGTTTTTGTCCAGAAAAATTTATGAACAAAAAAAAGGGGGAATGTAAATATAATAAATGCTATTAAATAATAAATATATAGAAAGACTAAGATTACATTCGCATACATCAATACTCTGTTTCCAAACTTAATTTTGTACTACCATATTATAGTTCAAATTCCCAGCTTTATATACTATATGAAGTTTTGTTACAGTACACTATCAGAACCGGTTTTATTTAAAATATAAAATGCAGTTTTATTTACAATTGTATTTTTGTAAAATGATAGATTATTGCTTCCATAAATTATGTCAATTCTACTGATATCATTGAAATACTGGATTCTTGAGTGCATGTTGTAAATACATTTCTAATTATATACTATCAGATTTTTACTTAATTTTAAAACCGTCGTTTAACAACCGACCCAATTTTGGGTTTAAGACTACCAATGTTCAACTCTGCAGCCTCGTTATTTTGAACACTGTCCAGAAGACAAGGGAACTCCTGAATCAAGTATCGGGAGTAATTTGCCTTCGTGGATAACTTTTGGATTAAACTAACCCTCATGTTCGTTACATGGAGAAGAAAACCACGAAAATCTCCCGTAGTCAGTTTGTCGGCAAGGGGACTTTCTTTCTTTCCTTCCAGACGCTGATACGTGCATAGGTTAGTAAAACCCTTACCCGTATAATCCGCGTCTGGCAACTACTTCCGGCCAACCTCAAACAATTATTTAAAGTTTCAAAAGAAAGGAGATTAAAATTTTGTTTACAAGTGTACAGAAATATTAATTTGTTTACAAATAGACAGAAATATTAATTATAGTTTAAACAATATATATATGACATATAGAAAGTGACAATAAATGAATTTTGGAAAGTAAATTAATATAAAGGGAGAAAAAAAAAGGGTAATATATATATATATATATATATAGTTCTCCATTAAAATTTTGATTTATAGGTGTTAAGTAATAAAAGAAAGTAATTAAAATGTCATAATAATAAAAAAAAGTTAAATAGAAAAGATATCGGCAAGGGGACAATAACCCATGATCCATCTACCAGTGAGGTTAATTTAAGTTAGAACTGTGGTCGTTGTGAGCCGGGTGTGGAATTCGAATCATCCAGCCATCGCCAGGATTCGAACCCGGTTCCCCTTATTGGAAGACGAACTCTCTAACTAACACCTTGATTTTATTAATCTTTAATTTGTTGTTAATAAAAATAAATTATACTACACAAATTTATTCTTATATCATATTACAGTTGCCGAACTGTAGCTGAAAATAAAATTATTAGTAAACATTCTGTTTATGGTACCCTTTTAAATTAATTCCAAATGAAATAATTAGGAAAAGCTATACGACTTCTAAAAGAAAGTTATTTAGTCTAACAAACTGTATTTTCAAACAACTCTAACATTTCCAAACTTTTACAAGCAATAAGCTACAAAAAACTTAAATAAAAATTTTGCTGATGAACGGAGCAATAAGAAATCCGTGACCTGTCTATCTGGATGAAAGAAAAAAAAATTTTTACTAACAGCTACAGGTAAGCACGTAAGATCTAAAATGGAACTCGAGAGTATATCTTAAGAAGAAAGTTGGTTCCTTTAAGGGCCCAAAAATAGCGCTGATTCAGGTTTGAGATGGCTAATGGCGCCCTCTCAAGTTTCTTCGGTCAATAGCTGATAGGAATGAAGTCTCTCATTTACTGAAGAACCATTCCTTTTGTAAAAATCAATTGTTTCATTCTTACAGATAGGAAATGAGTGTTTAGAAGGATCTAAAATGCTTCTTTTTACTTTATTTTACTTTGAACGTGTAGGAAGGAGAAGGAATGTTTCCTTCATAGTGTGGGAGTTGAGAAAATAAATAAGAAAATGCAGGGGAAAAGGTTGATTTGTTATTGAATTTTTCGGTGAAGGTTGATGTTTTGAGAATTGTAAATAAGTTGTTTTATAGACAGAAACTTCCAGATTGGAGTCTCAATTAATAATATTAAATTTGATAATTTTACAAAAGAATAATTCAGACTTCTTTTTCTTTCTAACAAATAAAAAAAAGTTAAAGATATATTTCTTTAAAAATCAAAATTACGTCTACCATCAAGGATATTATTCAAACCCTTAATTTACACCTTTAGAATCTTTTAGAAAGTGAAGTCACTAAGGGTTGTGTAAAGTATAAAGTCAGAAAGAAATAAGAACAAAATAAAAAGATAAACATCAAAACGAGTTTGGCGAAGCATGGAGATGCTCTTAATAATTTCTTTTCAACTCTATTTTTCCTCCAGTAGTTAAAAATACTTCCACGTTTTTGTCTCGCCTTCCTCAATTGTGTTTCATTAGTTTTCGATAACGTTTTTAGTTTTAGCTAGAGCAAATTTTAATTTGCATCCCTACTTCGTAAATTTTTTGACTTCCTTTTAGACTAAAATCGCAAAATGCATTTATTTAGAGTGGTCATTACGGAACATCTTACTATAATTAAGAAATGTGAAGTTTAAAATTGTTGCATACAAAGCACGAAAGAACAATGCATTTTATAACCGTCGTTGATCAGCCTACCCAATTTTGTGCTTACGACTACTAATGTTCAACTCCTTAGCCTTGTAATTTTGAACCCAATCCAATTTAATACCATAAATTCCCAATCCCAGAAAATTAAAATCAAATTAACTTAAAAAAATATACATACAAATAAGAGTTCTTCTTACAATAAGGATCTTAGTTGCTTTCACTTAAATCACATATTACTCACTTAACAGAAATCACTCATTAACTAAAAGACAATTCTTCTTTTTATTCCAAAATTCGTTCATAGGATTATGTTAAATCAAATCAGATTTTTTATGTCTTTAAAGTTGATTGAAAAATAAGACATTTGAGTAAGCTAAGGGAAATTGATGACTTGTAATTTAATTTTTCAGTAAGTATCAAAGACATCTGTTTTATAAATTCTTGGATAATAATAGTTATAGTTAGAATTAGTTAAGCTGATGTAATAAATCTTTCATTCTATAAACTTCAGTATAAAAAGTACCCAAAATATTTACCTAAATAATCTTGTTTTGGGCTCATTCAATATTATAATACGTTCAGGAAAAGAAATTCTAACTGGCAGAGAGATAAAGCAAAAAATGTAAAATAAGTCAACAAAAAACTGAATGATATTTCCGTAAGAAAAAACATCAACATTCTTTTTTCTTGATTTATTTTTTATTCTTTATCCTGGAATTACTTCTTTACACTATTTAGGGAAAATGCAAATGTCTAGGAGACTATAAAAGATATTGCGCGTTTTATACAATGCACGAATAATAATCATCTTTAATAAAAGGAATAATTTTTAGTAATCTCTAATAAGATTTAGTAGAATTTAAAACGAATTTTGAATTTTAATTTGCTATAATGTGCCATATTTAAGAAATCTTACATATCTTTAAAAAAGCTCATAGTTATTGAATTTTATGTGCGCATAAAACTGTTCATAAAAAATTGTAGTAATATTGCCATACTGTATAGTAATAATATTTCAAAAAAAACCCCAGATATTTTTGGTTAATTACACCTACATATACGATAATTAAAACATTTATTTGGTAATTTTGTTTCGTTCATATGGTATCGGTTTACCGTAAATTTTGGTATTCAACATTATAGTTTTTACTATCGCACATTTAGTAAAAAATATAGAACTAAAAATAAATTTAACGGAATAAACAATTTTTAAGCCTTTTTCAAAAGCAGCATGATAAAAATACCAAATTTTATCACATATTATGAAACCATATTTTATTGTTAATTTTACCAAAATCATTACTTAAGCTTCTCAGTCAAAATTATCGAGCTTTTCGGTGTTCCAATAGAACCAAAAACACAATAAATTTTACCACATTCTGATAGTTTCAACCATACTTTTTCTCGCTGTATAAAAATAAGATATTTTGCTTTGATATATTTTATTATAATCAAAAATAGATCAGTTTAGGGTCAGCATTCCGCGGAAATATTTAAATATACTTTTATTTATCGGAACACTGACAAATTTACTTTCTTAAAGCACAGAGGGCGTGTTTTATTTGCAAGATCTCTAAAAAAATTGGGAAACGAGACATGTTGTTGGTTATGTAATGACACTTGGTTTTTTATAAAATCTTAGCAATAAATGCTAAAACGTTTTACAGTTTTTACATGAATATTAAAAATTAGTGTCATACTTAAATGCCATTTAACCACAAGTATTTTTTTTCAGTACCCCGACGTCTTCCAAGCACCGCCGTGGATGCATTAGCAAAAAATACTGATGATGTACCTGTGTTTTTGCTTGTAATAATTTGTGTTTCCGGTACGCTTTTAATTTTAATTAATGGCGCCATAGTTGCGTGCTACATGCAACGAAAAAAGAAAAGGCAAACTCAAGGTAATTTTAAATTATTTTAAAATGATGCTTGAAATAGATTTTGTCATATTCTTCCGCAATAAATGTTTGTATATTTACTTTTATGTTTACATTTGAAAACCATTTTATTTATGCCAATACCTAATACCTTAACTAATTCCAATAGATAGTTTTCATTAAAATATAATAGTATAATAATATTACGATGAAATGGTAATATAAGATTCAAGCTATTTTTCGAACTAAACTATTCAAATAATGTATTCGAATAATAATGAAAATGTGAAAACAGAACAGATGTTGCTGCATAATAATTAAGAATGTAATTAAAACGAATTGAGTTCTTCTTAAGTTTCTTTGTAAATTAAAATAACTACTTTTCTTTGAATATAGTTAATTTAGTTGTATTCCAACGTGTTTAAGCTGTAGAAATGTTCTGGGAAATTAAATTTTTTTCAGAAATTTGGCATAAATTATTTATTTAAATTAATTTTTTAAATTTATCAATAGCAAAATATAAATTTGAAGCAAAGCCTTCTTCATGCTTAAGTTTAAAAAAATGTTAAGTTTCTCAAATAATAGTTTTTACAAGATCGAGAAGAAACATTCAAATGAGTGCAACTTATTCTTAATTTATTTGCATTTAACAAATACTTTAAAATAGCTTCAAGAAAAAATATTTTTATTGAAAATTAAATAGTTTGATACTGTTCCCTTGTAATTCTGCATTGTGTCTTGAAAATAATTAAAAAATATATATAAAATTCCTAACACAAATATATAATAACATATTCTGAAATTAAAATACTATTTTTTTCTTATTTTGGAAGTAGAAAGATAATTGAAATCAATTTTATAACTTCTTTTTTATATTTCTCATAAACAAATGAACCATATTTCTAAAGAACTTAGCAATTTTATCTTAAATCTTTAACAAAACATAAAACTTTTTGTTTTAATGCAAAAAAATAATATCTTTATAATGAATATGTTTATTCAAGAAAAAATGCACTATTTTCATTTACTGAGGGAAGAAAAAGTCTTTTTAAAAGAATTTTACAGAGTGCTTCGTTTCTTTCTAATTAAAAAATGTTACGATTAAAGAAAAATTCTTTAAAAGCATTTAGTAGTTGAAAGAAATTTCTTTTACTTCGCAACTTAATTCAACAATTTTCTTTAACAACAAAACAAACAAAAAAAGAATAAAATCTCGAGATAAAAGCATTTTAAACAATTTTCTTATCAGGTAAGAAATATATTCTTTTTCGAACTTCCATGCATACATACGATGTTGCATATAAATAGAATAAAGTCTTGTAAGTGGTACTGTTATTTACTACACCCCTTTTTCTTCGACCTGCTTCAGTCTCGAATGATACATCACTTATATTAGCATGATCGTGAATCATTCATAAGAGACGGGATTTGAATTGCTTCAAAGATGGAATTCTGGGAAAATGGAAAGGATTTAACCAGGCACTCGATTCTAGTGTAATTTCTTTTCTATAACCTCACATTATATATATGAGAGAATGTCGATTATAGTACATCCCTTTAACTAGAAACATCAATGTTGCCAAGTACCACTTAAAATCTTGATAAAAGCTGTTAATCGGGTAGATAGTTTCTACTGTACATTCTTTCAATAATGTATGAAACGTTCTATAAATCTTATCACAAAACGATTATTTTATTTCTTTGTTGCTCTTTTGAATTATTTTTTAATCATTTTTTGTTCTAGTAATACTGAGATAGTTTCTTTCATTTTTTTAATTTTTTATGCAATAGTTTAACTTAATTTGTGACTTTATTTTTTCTGTCTGATAGGAACATTTTGTATTTTGCTTTCGTTAGGAGAAAATATTTAAGTTTAAGTAGGTTCTCTAAAATAACGTAGTTTTTTTTTTCAAATTTAAAATTATAACAACAGTTTTTATTACTTAATTATTTGCGTTTGAACTGTCAAAAAAACTCTTGAAGGCCTGCTATATTTTATTACTTTCTGAATTTTTTTAATGTTAGGAAACTGTTAACAAAAATTTTTATAAGTTCATCGTTTAATAAAAGTTACACATCATTAAAATTGTGACGAAGTAACTAAAACATTAAACTTAGTGCAGTTTGTGATAAACAAATAACTGTGATAACTTTTAAGTAGAATTCATGAAATAAACTATTTTTTAATCATTACCTTTTAAATTTTTTTAGTACACGTTTTTTTCTGTTACGGTTTTTATGAAAAAAAGGAAGAAAATATCAAAATTATACTTATTTTTTCTGTTTCTATGACTGCATTAATTGAGTGAAACCTACATGGAGAAAACATTTCTGGTAAAATTTCAGTACCGTATGGTAATGACATTTCTGAAGGAAAAAAAACATAATTTTGTTCCACAAAACCAAAATATACGGTATTTAAACCATTCATTTTATAATTTTTCATTTAAGTGGTAAGAGTTTACAGGAAATTCTGATTTTTATAATGATAGCTCTTATTAACACTTATTTAGTACAAAATACAAAACTGAAATATAAATTTAATCAAATAAATGTTTTTTATGCCATGCATATGTTACTATATGTTATTACATATTATAAAACCATAATTTACTGCAAATTTTTCCAAAATCATTACCAAAGACCATCGGTAAAAATTACTGTACATTTATGTATTGTTATAAATCTAAAAACTTGGTAAATTATACTATATGATATTAATTACTTTACAGTATTAATATGATAAAGTAACCAAATTTTACCACACGTCAGTAAAAATTATAGATCTTTTTGGTATTTCCATAAAGGCAGAAACATAGTATATTTTAACATATTCTGGTGCAGTGAACCACAGTTTAGATTATCTGTTTGAGAATTTTTTTTATAACATTGCAGTCATCTAACTCCTCGGAAAATATGCTAAGTAGTGAATTGAAAATTTAAATTCATATAATAACATAATATATATCTAACAAATAAATTATATTTAACTAACAATTGCAATTAAATTGATAGAACCAATTAGTATTCCTCTTATTTAAAAAACTACCTACAGCAAGATTCGTTGTGCTTTTTAAAACCTCTCTCTACAATAGACTTGTTGCTACATTTATTTCAATGTTATAATACTAAAAACATGCCGGTTTTCTGCACAGCATGGAAATGTCCTATCCGATCTAATATTTACTCTAAATTCACTAAAGTAGAAACTCAAAATTCGCTGGAGCAAAGTTTATATCACTCATCTAAGTATGTATTTTTTTTTCCTGGTAGTCATACGACAACTCAAAAAACATGTTAAGTAGTAAACTGGAAATGTTCATTCGGAATTCCTTTTTACTGCAACTTTTTATTGCTGGTAGAAAAGCCTATAAAGGAAAAACTGCTGGTAAAATGAGACAAAAATGTGCAGCGCATCCAGGCAAAAATAACATTAAAAAAACTTGGTTTCTATGGCAACAGAGATGAAACTAAAATGACATGCTCATTTAGCTGGTTGGAGGTGTTCGTGTCTTGTGGACTGAATTTGAGAAGTAGATATGAGAATTTATTTGCGGGAAACTAAGCATACGTTTCCTTATTTTTATGGCTTTTCTTTGCTATCTATTATGATTTAGAAGTGGGAATGGTGCTTCTGCACTTCCAAAGGAGACAGTAGTTGTAATAAAAAGAATGTTTAAAATTTATTGGATAGGTTTTATTACAAAGTTGTCTTTTCGGCTGCATATCCATCTTAAGTGAAATTTTGATGATTTTTTTCTCTGTACCGAAGTTAATTTCTTTAAAAAAAAACTCTTACCGTAGAAGTACCGTTAAAATAAAAGACGGTTTAAAATTACACAGTCTTACTGTTTAAAATAACAAAAGTTTATTCAAGATTTTGCATTTAAAATTCAAACTAAAATTTTATTAAGGAATTGTATGCACTATGGCATTCTATGAAATTAAACTGTATTCTACTTATGTATTGTATAAATAGGCTTATTTTGAAATTAATTTGGAAATGTTCAGATATTTAATTAGAGGTTAAATTGATTGTGAGCAGGTGAGATTACACAGAGAATTTTTTCCTTCCTTTTTTTTGTTGCATGAGATTTTTAAACAGATCACAGATATTTTCATATCAATGATTTCAAATTCTGCAATTGGTTTCTCTCTTCAAGCAGCTTCTTCTTTTATAGAAAAATGATATTTTTAGTCTAATTTTTGTTGAACGGTTTAAAAACTGCATATATAACATGGAGTTGTATAAATATTTCAACAAACTTCTGGGAAAGTTAGGGCACATCATTAAAATCAAAATCACATAAGTATTTATGCCCATAAATATCGTCATACGCAGCTGAAAGTGCTTCCCTATTATAAATTGTTCATTGGTGTTCTCCTGGAAAAACCATAATAGAAAGGAGCCTCTAGACGAGTACAATGACATTTACGAGCATGAGTTGCTATACAATTTGTTTCCTGAAAATCTGCCTTTACTCCCTTAGAAGTCTGTCAAAAAATTTATGCAACTCTCTGTTATATATTGCGTTCTTGAACTCGTACATTTCAATAAAAAATGACATTTAAGAAAATCTGTAACTTTAGAGGTAAAACTAATTTCAGATTTGAAATCCCTGCACAGGAATAAGATACTTTCAAATATTTATATAAATGCAGCAAAACAATTTTTCCACTGTGTTCGCTTCAAAAATTTTTGATTTTCTTTAATTTATTACAAAATCACTTTTTTTTTTTACTTTTATTTAGCATATTTTTTCAATTTAATACAAATTTTAGTTAGAGTTTATCTACGTTCAGTGCTTAAGGAATTAAGTTTTGCACTAATTTGGATGTGTTCATTATAATTTTAAAAATATGTTATGTAGTACATTCCTATAGTTTTCTTTAAAACAGAAAAATGTAACAAAAAATAAATATAACATTTTTAGCTTTAGCAAAAAATAATTTTATACTTTAGTGTAAAGTAAAAAGCTGGCAAATTATTAAAATATTAAATTCACTCTCAAAAAGTTGAGAGTCTCTTAAAATCCTTTTCATAACCTAAAATCAATTTTATTGTAAAAGCATATAAATGTAAATTTAAATAAGAAATATATATTTAATGATAAATTTAAATAATGAATAATAAATATAAAAAAGTAAGTAACAAACCTTTGAATATTGCCATTTTTTATTTTTGTTCAGAACGCTAATTGAGTTGAAGCGATAACAATAGTTATTTTTAAAATATTAATAATTATTTTTTAAAAATAATTATTTTTCAAGGAATACGAATTTTTTTTACAGTGTAATTTCCTTCCTACTTTAGGGTATCAAGTTTCTGAAGGTAAAGGTCCACCTCCAGATTCTAGTATGTATAGTAGAGATAAATATCATGACACAATTAATGGTGAAGCTTTGAGAAGTCCTTTAAATGAATGTGACGATACATTCCATGAAGAAATATTAATGAAAGAAATTATGGTAAGAAATTGTAATTTCTTGTATATTAATCGCTGTGGCTCTTTGAATATTGAATCTAAATCTATAATATTTTTCGTGTTTTGATTTTTAAAATCCATTTCACCGATTTTTTTTTTTTTTTTGATTCACCGATACTTATATTTAATTACTCCCTTGTGCAGTCTCCCTTGCGCACATTACTTTTGTATTCGAATTGATGTTATTAAAGTATTGTTTCGTATTAAAGTAATTTATATTTGAAATTATATGTTTTTTTTCAAAATCCTTTTATATTAGACACAGGACTTGAAGCACATGTAAATATTTACGAAGTGAGTTGCCCCGTTACCCCATAGGAGTATAGTGGTACATATATTTGTTCAAATATTTTGAAAGCCATAGTTTTTTTTAATAATGAAAGAAACTAGTGATTAAAATTTTAAATAAATTCTTATATAGCACATAAAATTACAGCATGGAGAAAAATGTTGGTTACTTTAGTTTCTCCATTTGTTAAAATAGCCTCAACACACTTATTTACAATGTAGTTAAAGGAACTTCAAGAATAATTCAATGTTTAGCAAAGTTTATTATAATGTTCTCATTTGAAATGCATTTCATTGCTTTATTTGCATTCTTGTGGAACAAATCATTGCTCACATCGCTATTGTATAATTCATTAACTTTATTTAAATTTCTTTATAACATTAAATAATTATTATCACTTATTTTCTTTCTTGTATAACTTTATTTAATTTTCCTTAGTTTTTAATCTGAGGGAGCATTTCACATTGCTATTTTTTTCTAAAAATCACTCGAACATTTTATGTAAATTAGTTCCGATTTTTTTAAAACTTCTTGTATATGAAACTGCTTTTAATTTCGCTTTTTGTGCTTAATTTTTATACCGGTATACCAGAGTTTCTGTAAGCAACAAATGTTTACTTTGATTTGTTTAAAAAATTGCACGGCATGTTTTAGTTTTATATACTTTATATTGTAGCGAACAATTTTCAAATTATTTTTGTTTTGATTTACAGAAGCAAGATTCAGAGCCTGGAAAAAGTTCGAAAATTGGACCGAAAGTTCCTCCAAGTAAGATAATATAAGTTTAACTATCCTAAATAATCATATTTTGTATGCTTATTGGAAATTTAAAACAAGAAATCATTCAATTCACTAATATTATCATGTGATAAATATTGTTTTACAGTTTAGAGTGGATGAGAAAAACAACTCATCACAAAAATTGATCCTCAAAAATAGACATTAAAATTTTTAAAATTACTTAATTTTTATAGATTAAATTTAAACATTTTTTTCTCACTTTTCTAATTTTTGATAAATTTAAAGGCAAAGAGGTATAGGAGAATAAATATAGATCATTAACTGGTATTAGCTGAATTAACTAGATAATTAACTTGATAATTAACTGAAATTGAAAAACATTTCCCTTGTTTTAATAATTCTTTTAAGTTTTTCTTTCACAAGAAATTATAAATAAATGAAAAAGTCTTCGAGAAAAACTGAAAGCAAAATTATGTCTTGCGTATTAATCGAAGCTTTTTATCGTTATCGAGGCTTCCATTTACATGTTTTCTAATAAGATATCCTTTGACATTTTCAACTCTTACAGTTATCGCTTACTGTATTTAGCTATTAAAACAAAAACAAATCGTATGATGTTGTTGTCGTATAATGTTATCAATGTGGTGTTGTAAGTTAGTCCAAACAGATTTAGAAATAGGTAGCGCAGTACCAAAAGACGAATTGGTCGACGGATTTTTCAGAGAGATATTAAATTGGGAAAAGAAGGGTTGCCAAATTAACCAGGTCAGTTTTGTGGTGGAAGCTGCAGAGGAAGAGATAACACCGCAGAAATGATGAAAAGAGCACCATATGTCGACACTTTTTCGTCGAAAAATTATGAAATAGTTTTGGTAGAAAATGGAAAAGACTGCGAGAGAAAAAGAAAAATGTGTTAGAATTGAAAGAATTTCAGAAAAAAAATCTAGTGATACTAAACTATGGAGTAAAAATCATGTTAATATTGAATCATCAGTTACGGAAGAAGTGGAAAAGATTGATTCCAATAAAGGAAGGAAAGGTTTGTTAAAGGTTGTTAGTGACAAAATGGTAACTAAGTCAATAGCCACACTAAAACGGAAAAAAAATTTCACGTAAGGTATCGAATAGTACTGAAGATGAAATTGAAACCAAAGTGGTTAGGTTGCCATGAAGTAATGAACAGTTGCGCTCAAGAATAAAAACGTCAGCCATTGCTAAACAAGTAAAACTCTTTCATAAAAATAAGAACTTTGTTAAGAGTGGAAGTACTCAGAAAATGACCTAATGTCGAAAAATCAATGCCAAATGAACACGAAAAAAAATTACTTTGATAGAATTAGTGATAAGCAAAGAGTTATTTCGCTGTATCTCGAGAAATTTCTAAGTGAATTAAAAGCTTTTTATATACAATTATAAAACTCCTTTACCCAAAGATATGCCAAAGTAACTTTTAGTAAATATTTATTATATTTTATTATTTTATTTAAGAAGAAATTTGAAAAAAAAATTTATTGTAAAGTTTTGCAGTATTTTAATGAATGTAATTTTATATGGCGAAATACAAAATATGAGCTAAGTCGGTCGAATAGAGCCTGAGAAATTGAGTTTCAAAAAAGTCAGATACTAAAATTCTCATTCGAATGGGACGTATATTTTCTGAGAGATCTAATTTTAAATATAAGACTTTTTTAAAATTTGATTTCCCCAGAATCATTCGAGAGATCAAGTTCAGATTTTGTCAAATATCCAAGGAGTTCCTGTTTTTGTTCATTGTACAAGTACGCAATGCATTGCACCATCATTTTACATAAAAAGATTTCACACCACATATAAAAAGTAAAAAGATCTTTACTACTTCTTTTTGCATTTTATGGATTGCGAAATTTATTAGTCACATTTAACATTTTAAGGTCACAATATATTTTATTAAATTAAATTTAATTTCCCTTTAAAAGTTTATATTTTTTTCTTCAGATAATATTTGATATAAAAATATTATTTTTTACATTATAATGAAATGTATAATAATATTATTTCTATTTAAATATTATTTTAGTAGTTTTTTTTAAAAGTATAAGCACTTAAAACACATTCATGCCTTTGAATGATAAAAATTGTAAAAATTTAATAAATGTTTCAAAGAATATTTATATGAAACTTAATTAACTTTTTGAATTCTTTATTATCATTACTAAATAAATATCGCATTAGTTTTGTTCTAATAGTGCGTATGAATATAAAGATTAAATAATAATGATATTTAAATTAAAAGACTTTTTCGAAATTAGAGCAACACTGAAAGTTAACGAGAATTTTAGTAACATTTTTGTGTTTTAAAGCGATACATCTAGATATAGATAAATTTAATATCATTTTCTTCATCGAAAATATTATTTTAAATCATAGTTTCTCTCAAATTAGTTAGTGTTTTATTAGTTTTTTAGAGTTTCTCTGCCTAAAACTATTCGATGAAACATATTAATATGAATATTATTACACATATTTTTGCGCTTTTGAATATTTAAACATAAATTTTTAAATAGCAATCATTTTCTGATAAATATTGAATAAAAACTTTTATTTAAAATTTTCTTTATTACATTTATTGACATTGTTGAGAATATAATAAAAAAACAAAAAATTCTGCTTTAAATTTTCTTTACTTAAAACCATATTACAAACGTGAAGAATTTAAGTTATAAATCAGAATTAAATTATTGTGAATGCATCATAAATTTAATATTTATATCAAATTAGTATTAGTAACAATTCATAAATTTAATTTGAAAATAATACTTGCAATATTTTTAAAAAGATGGAAATCTTTCTTTTTTAAGATGTTGTGTCACTACAGTTAGTGATTATTATTTATGATCACTCAAATCATCATCATCTCAATCAAATCATCTCAATCATCAATATTTCACTCAAATCATTGAGTGAATTGAATGTTGAAATTGTTAATAAATTTATTTAGATTGAAAAATTTTTTGATTTCTATATTGGATCATGTGCGATTCGGGAAAATATGCGGCTGAAAATTTTTCTTATATTTTTTCACTAAACTTCAATAATTTCCTTAAAAATCATCTAAATTATGTTATATTTAAAATTCGTCCTTTATTAATGATAAATTTTGAATTATACAGAACAAAATAACTACCTTGTGCCAATCCAGTTTCAAGCTAATCCAAGATAAAAGCAGATCGAATGAGGTTCGATACTTCAGTGAGAAAGCGCTTTAAAAAATATATCCCTCTACCCTCCATTTGCTCTTTAATTTCATATTTTGTAATCTCGCAACTTAGTTATGAAAATATTTTAACATTATTTTTACAAAATGTCAGCCAGTACATGGTCGTCTAATCACTCCCTTTGTTTTATATTCCTAGTTGTATTTTATTCTGTATTTACTTGATTTTTTTGTTTTACTTTGTACTCGTCTTGAATTTTTGTTATTATCGTTTTGAACTTTCTTTTAAAAAAATACAAAATTTTTTCGTTTTGAACATTATAGTTCTGAACTTTCTTTTAAAAAAATACAAAAACTACTTAGAAAATTTCTTGAAACTTCATAGGTCTTAAGATATTTAAATCAAATTTTTTCCAGAAGTTGTCGAATGCAATTCACTATAAAATTATGAAATTTTTTTTTAATGCTTTACTCATGCGCAGTACAAAAGAACTAGTTTAAATAATCATACCTTGCTCATTTTTTAAAATATTGTTATCAAATTTTTAAGCAATAAGTTTGTAATTTGTTTTAAATTGCTCCAAATATTTTGTTTAATTTTATTGAATATTTTTAAAGTTATAGCAAAAAAAAAAAGCATGAGTCAAAAAAAATTTTTTTTCTTTAAATGTTGCTTATTGCTTGATTTTTTTTGTTTAGGGAGTTCAAAAATGCGCGTTTAAAAATGCACTTCATTTCTTAAAGAATCATGATGTATTAAAAATTAAACTTGATTTGAGAGTTTCATTATGGATTTCTTACTTGTAAGTGCTTTTAAATCTTAAGATATAAATATTTCAATCATGGTCGAAGAAATACAGATTCATTTTCAATTTAAGTGTTTTTTAAACAAATTTGCCATTATTTTTAAGAATATGTTAAATGCTCGTAAGAATTTATGTGCCTAACTTCCTTCACGTTAATTCATATTAAACGTTTTAGGAATTTCAGTTCTTAATAAGAATTACATTGTCCCAAACCCATGTATTTTACGTTCATCTTACTTTGGCAACTGTACCGATTCAAAAAATTAATTTGAAAATTAAATTTTAATTAACAAAGCCTTGCTCCAACATTAAAAAGTAATGAATCATTTTTTCATATGTTTCCCTGTCACCACATTTTATGATAATTAATTTTCAAAGTCATGATGAAAAAGTTATTAATAAAATCCCTCTCATTTCCTAAAAAATAATCGTATGCTTAAATTCTAAATTCGGTGCATCCTTTCAAAACTTAAGACTTTTTCAATATTTTAAGTCTTTTTAAAGGACTTTTCTTATCAAGAAAATGAAAATAAAAGGAAGATAATTAAAATTTCATTCCACAAGAGATGAGTCTTTGTGGTCTTAAAACCAATGTCAAATTCTTTTGCGTTCGTAAAAAGAGTTTTCGGGCTTCTAAGCTATTTATATGCAAATTACTGAAGATTAACAGCTTTGAAAATTTTCATCTCGGATTTCAAAAAATAAAAATAAAATATAAAAGAATCGAAGCATTTTATCGTTCTTTCCACAGATTATCTAAAGCTTCACATAACTTATATATATAAGTTTTTATTGCATAAATTATATATTTTTACATCGCTTCTAAAATGTTTTATTTGGAAAAGTCCCTAGTGTGGAAAAATCCTTGTAAAAGTATCACTTTTAATTAAGCACTTCCCGAAATTTTAAATTTTACTAAACATAAACAACAACATGAGTTGCGAGAAAAATATATTTTGAACGCGGGGAATTTCATTAAATTTCATGTTTAACAGTGAAGAAGGGAGAAATATTTCGCTTATTGTGTTTCAAATATTATCTATATTAAAATGCTTTTAACTTTATTTTCTTAAACAGGAACTCATAATCAAAGATGGCACAACTCAGCAGAAAACAGCTGTCCAGATATATTAAAAAATGGACACAGCTATGTAAAAGTAAGTAAATATATAATAAATTAAATACGAGTGTCGCACAAAATATTTTAGTTCAATTATATTTATTTTTATACGGTTATTTAAATTTAACACATCACCGGTAGAAACATTATATATTTTAAAATATCACGCAAATCAATATTTTATTTTAAAATAAGGATTTAAATAAATTGAAAGCCGTATAAATTGAGAAAGAGAATTTGAAAACTCTAAACCACCACCAGAAATTAGTGAAATTGATATTAATTAATATTTTTAATGATATTGAGTTATTTAAATATGATTATTATAACTGATCTAAGGAATATAAATTTTATTTTTATATTTCATATATTACGGTCGTAATTCTGCGTTTACGGCTACTAATGTTCAACTCCCTCGCCTTACATTATTGAACCTAACCCACAAGAAAATTGAGCTCTTTGATCAAACATTGAGATAAACTAGCCTACGTAGAAGAAAATTTGAAGAAACCCACGTTTGCGGTACATGGAGAAGAAAACCTCGATAAACCTCTCACGATTAGCCCGACGGCAAAGGGATTTTAACCAATCATCTGTCTACCATTACGTCAACACTGTAGTCAAATCGAGCAGAGTGCAGAATTCGTATGGACCAGCCCATAGCTGGGTTTTTGCACTAGGTCATCCTAGTACGAATCCCAGCTATGGGCTAACGTTGCTACGAATGCTTTTTCCCTTGAGCCACCACAGCCCGAAGGACTATAAATTTTATTTTATAACCGACATTTATCAGCTGACCAAATTTAGTGTTTACGGCTACTAATGTTCAACTCCGTAGCTTTGTAATTTTGAACCTAATCCAGAAGACAATGGAATTCCTGGATCAAGTATTGGGAAAAATTCGTCGTGGTGGAGAACTTTTTGATTGAACTAAATATCACCTAAATTACTTTTTAAAGACGAAAAAAAAATTCTAAATTGATTTAACTAAAAAAATGAATATTAAAAATTATACTAGCAATATAAATTTGTGAAATATTTAATATTTTTAAATTATTTTTGATCAAAGAGAAATTGAGTGAAAATGAGAAAAAAATGTACCATCATTAAAAGCAAGCTTTTTTTAAGCCTATCGTGCACTTTTTTTGCTCTCATTTTAAAGTGAGAACAGAAAAAAATGGAAAAGATAGGTAAACAGAAGAGTCATTTCTACACTGTGAAAAAATAAATAATGAAGATTTCTATTACATAACGGAAAATTCTTGGCAGCAAAGTTGCCGAAGATTATCTGTATACTATGGCAAAAACACGTTGGCAAAAATTTCCTGAAACAGATCACTGCAGAAAATGTTTGTACGCATTACATATTTTTAGTCAGTCAGGGTACTGCAGAGAAATTTGCCATGAAGGCCTTCTGTTTAGTGAAACAGATCCTTAAAATTTTTATTAGTTATTTTTTAATTTTTATATTTATTGCGTAACATTAAACGATTGAGGGATCAAAAACTTACGAGTTTGATATAATCATCAGAGAATTTTTATATTTCACGTCGTTCAGCTCCGACGTCCCTTAGCTGGACTCGAACCCGGGACATTCATGGTATGAGATCAAATATATCACCACCATATAAACTGGTCGATAGAAATAAACTATAATTCGTTATACACTATCCTTAAAAAAATGTAAAGAGTCCCTCTTTTTTCCCTGAAATTATTAAATCTGTTATTGTATCGAATAAGCAACATTCAGATACATTAAAATTTAATACATTAAAATGTATACAAATACATTACATTAAAATTAATACAATATAAGTTATACATTAAAATTTATACAAATACACAAAAAAAATTTATGGACAATTGGTTACTTATTTCTAATTATAAAACAGAAAATTTCATTAAATTTTGAGTAAAAATAAAATAAAAAAATAATATTAAAAAACATTTTAAGTACGCTTATTTAAATGATAGATTACTGAATTTTGCCTTTATAAGACAGTATTTTTAGAAACATATAAAATACAACTTAGCCACTCTATTAGAAGAAGGAAAATATAGCTAATATTAATCACGAAATTTAGTTGGGATTCTTTTTTGAAAAAATTATGACAATATAATTCAGCTATCAGCAATATTTAAAACGTAGATAACTATTAAGTTTTCATCGGTTTCAAAAAAGAGGATAGGGTCTACTTTGTGCTAGGTAAAAGCATGAAACAACATGACTAAAGATCGAATAACGTACAGTAATGAACATATTATAGTTTCGGTTCTCTAAACTAGAACTTTCCAAAGAGTCTAAACACCAAATGGCAGTTGAAATGTAAAATGAACTAAGGGGGCAAAGAAACAAGCTTGAATAAGGTAATAAAGGGAAGAGTGATAAGACAGAGGTGTTAGGGGACTTGAGGGGAAATTCAGGGGACAAATGGTTATATAAGAACAGATTTCCAAGTATTGGGAAAGGGTGGGATGCTAAAAAGAGCAATAACTAAATTACTAGCATCCCACCCATCACCAATATTTGAAATCAACAATCCCACCCTCATTTAATCGATTACACCCTGAGTTTCCCGTCTAATCCCATCACACCAGTTTTTATCTCTCTTCTTTTTAATACCTTGCTCAAGGTTGTTCCTTTGTTGCTATTGGTTAAACCACCTTGCACGTGTTTATCTCCTTACTTTAAAACTGTTATTTGGTATTTATAGACAAACTGAAGAATGTTCCAGCTTGGAGAAGCAAAACTATAGTATGTTCATTTATGTGCTTTCAAGCACTCTGTTTCTTTTGCTTCAATTTGTGTATTATTTGCTTTTTGATAAATAAGTTTTTTTGTGCTAAATTTTAGTAACGAAATTTTTTTAGAAACATCTTAATCAATGTTAATCCATTTAAACAATAATTGAAAACATCCAAGTGTTAACTATTTCATAACCGTCGTTGAACAGCCAATCCAATTTTGAGTTTACGACTACTAATGTCCAGTTCCGCAGCCTTGTAATTTTGAACCCCATCTAGAAGACAAGGGAATTTCTGGATCAAGTATTTTTTTTACACCCGTCATTGAATTGTCGACCCAATTTTTAGGTTTACGACTACTTATGTACAACTCCGTAGCCTTGTAATTTTGAACCCAATCCGGAAGACAAGGAAACTCCTGGATCAAGTATAGTGAGAATTTTACCTCCGTGGAGGACTTTTTTGATGAGACTAACCCGCATCTGCGTTACATGGAGAGGAAGACCACGAGAACCTCCCACGGTTAGCCTGACGGCAAGGGGACTCTAACCCATAATCCGTCTACCACTGAGGATATTTCACGTCAGCACTGTGGTTGGTGAAAGCTAGATGCGAATTGTATATCGACCAGCCATCTCCGGGATTCGAACCCGATTCACCTCATTGGAAGGCGAATGCTCTATGGGTCAAGTATCGCTATAATGCTATGGAAGCAAAAATTACCATTATCATGTAGTTTTTCACACCTTTCGCAGGATCTTAAGACACTTCGCTGTATCAGTATTAAAACTGCACAATAGTGGTACAGTTTAAATAATTACCAAATATATCAATACTAACTGAATACCTCTTCTTTGTACGGTGTGAAGAAAAAGTAAATGATCAATGACTCAGTTTTAATCAACAATGCACAATCTTTCTTTGGGATATAATGCAAGAACCTATAATCGGAGAAAAATGTAAAGTAGACATCGTGTCTTTGAAGGTATGTATATACACTAATTTTGGTGAGGAACAGTTTAGAATTGTTGATTTGTATAATGTGCACACATATACAAATCAACAATTTTAACATATGAACATTCTGCATACATATAACATATGAACATTCTGTTTCATCTATATAGATGTCTGAAATTATATTCACAGATTGAAATTTTTAGATTTTTGAACTATTTCAAACGTAAAAATGTCTTAAACAAAAATTTTCATTAAATTATTTAAAAAACAAAAAGAATATTTTTGCGAAATCTTAATCTAATTCGTATATTTCTAGATCTAAATTTCCGATTTCTGGACGGTTTAAAAACTTATTATTAATACTGTATTAAATCAAAGCAAAATGTTTTTAAAGGCTTTCAGCAAAAGTTCGAATTAAACTATTTGAAAAACTAATAATATCTTTACAAATTCTAAATATAATTCGTTTATTTCTAGATCTAAATTTTCGATTCCTGAAGGATTTAAGAACTTATTATTAATTCTATATTAACTCAAGTCGAAATATTTTTTTAAAGCTTTTAAATTAAGAGCATTTTTATAAACTTTTAATATAATTCATTTATTTCAAGATTTGAATTTCCGATTTCTGGATGGTTTAAAAACTCATTATTAATAAGGTATTATTTCAAAGCAAAATGCTTTTAAAGGCTTTCAACAGAAGTGTTCATTAAACTTTAAAAAAAACTAAGAATATTTTCGCAAACACTCCATCAGATGCGTATATTTTATTCCCAAATTCATTACAGTTCCAAAAATATCCATGGTTACTCAAATTGATAAAGCTTAAACAATATAACTTATTTATGTATTAATGCACTTAAAGTTCATATGCTTATGGAATTCCCTGTAAGAGTATGGGACAAGAAAAAAGAATATTTTTTACAGCATATCTGGCAATCATAAAAAAGATGGAATCCATAAGAACAATTTAAGTTAGAACAATAAAAAAAGAATTTAATTTGAGAACTTGAAAAAAAAAACGAGATTTCTGGAAAATCCATGTAAAAAGGAAAAAATTTAAAACTGTCTAGACAGTTTAAAACATTTTATTTTATTTTATGGGACATGTTAACAGAAATATTTCGAAAAACTTTCCCAGAGGTAAACGATCTTACAGCTTAAACATTTATTCCAACCAATTTCATTTCCTTCAAAATTTGCTTCAGTTTCGGGAACTATATAATTAGGAAAAAAATTAATTTCTTATTTACAAAGTCTGATTTTGAAACACAAGAAATTGAAATGCTTCTTAAATTTGAAATTCTTGGAGCTTAGAAAGTAGAAATTTCTAGAAATCAACTTACTAAGTTTACAGGAATTTATTTATTATATTATTTTCAATGCGTAGAATTTTCACAACTGTTTTTGCCAAGGTAATATTATTTTGATGAATTATGCATTCAATATTTATTTTGAGTTGCAATGTTTGAATTACATTCTGCTACAATTGAACATTTTTAAAACAATATGAAGTTCAATATCTTAGAATAGTTCCCCGGATTCAATGTATATTTAAGTAGAAACAGGATAAATATCTATTGTACAATTGCTACAATGGGATAAAATAGTCTAAAATGTTTTAGTTTATTTCCATTTTATCTTATCAATATACCTTATTGAAATTCAACTGGCACTGGGATAATATACATGTGGGAAATGCAGGAAAATAGGGCTTATTTTCAACTGAAAAGAGTAAAAAGTTTTATTAGTTCAAGTTTTCAGAAATTGGTATAAAATAATATACAGTCAGAAAGATGTCATTTTTTTTTAATTGGCTATTGCAAGCTTGACAGAATACGTGTAATTATAGGATTAATACGGATTCCTGTACACAAATGCCTTATTGGTCATTCCTTATTTTTTTCTTGTGACCTTTCCCTTGCGTTTGCATCAGACATAGTTTCTACCCAACTTGATTTTATTACATTACTTGCACATTCTTGTTTATTGTTTTTTTTTTTCAAAAGTTTTTCCGAGTTTTTCGAACAATATGTCACAAGGCCGGGACAGCCTGGTTGACTGGGCCCATGTCAAGGAGATCGTGGGATCGATCCCAGCCAGCCAAAGACTCTACGTGTAGTATATGGTGACTGATGCACGTTACAAAGTCCTCCATGCTCCCATAATGAATCATACTGGGGGAACTGATCCAGTAGTTTCCTTGTTTCTGGATTGAGTTCAAAAACAAGGGGCTATGGAGTCGATATGTATTCCGCATCCGGCTTGCACCAACCACAGTACTGACGTAAACTATCCTCAGTGGTAGCCCGGTCATAGGTTAGAATCCCCTTGCAGTCAGGCTAAGCATGGGAGATTTTCGTGGTTTTCCCCTCCATGTAACGCAAAGGCGGGTTAGTTACATCAGAAAGCCCTTCGCGAAGGCAAATTTCTCCCGATACTAGATCAAGGAGTTCCCTTGTCTTTTGGATTGTGTTCAGTATTGCAAGGCTACGTAGTTGAACATTTGTAGTCGTATTAAGCTTATTGTCATATTAAATCCAACATGTTTCATTAAAGTGACTAAGAAATACTCATAAAATTCTTTATTTGCTCTTTTCATATTTTTTGGAGAAAAAAAATGCACACAATTAATACGTTTAAAAAATTTAACACATGCTTCAATTTTACTGATATGCTTAAACATATTAAGGCTAAAAATATATAATTGTTATTTCCTCTAATTGTTAAAGATATATAACTGTTTAAAAAATATCAATTTGAATTCTTAAACCATTATACTGATTAATTTTTCGCAATTGTATCCTATCCAATACAAGTAAAATAAATATTTAAAATAGTGAAGAGTTAAGTAAAACTATTCAAAAACACCAATGTAGTAAAATTTTATTAAAAACACTTTGATACAATATTTTAAGAAACATTTAAAAGTAGAAACTGGTGTATTTCATGACAATAGATTCAAATGGGTGACCTCAGACAAGTATAAATCATTCCTAATCTGAGATATTTTGGCGATGAAATCTGCCTTATCTTGCTCTCCAAACTGTCTTTTAAATCCTTGATTGATTTTTCAGATAATTCTTAGTGAGAAATTCTAATTCATCAATTAGAAGCTCTACTTTCATTTGCTTATTTCATCAATTGTTTGAGTTAGATTTACTAAATTGGCAATTCATATCTGGGTTTTAATCTCAGAATTGATGTGACATGTAGTCATATTAATTCATAATAATCTATTTTGACACGTTAAGGAATAGATGATAATCCATTATTTATCGTTATGGAAATAACTCTTAGGAGGATATGCGTGAGCAAATCATGCTGATATATTTTGATAATACTGATAATACTTCAGAAATAATTAAAATATAACCTGAATTGTGAAGCTTGGACAAAATTGACAGTAATCAAAGAAATTTCTGAGCGATTATCTGAAGGGACATTTGTATAAGTTTTAGAATATAAATTTAATCAGTAATTTCGGACAATATTGGACAGTAATTTAAGAGCTTTCTGAGAAGAAATTTATTGGGCTTTAGAGTACAGAGTACGACATACAATTAGCAATTACGGACATAATTGAACAGTGATTGAAAAACTTACTCAAAGAATATGTAAAGGGTTATTTGAGTAACATTTAAATTGAACTTGAGTTTGCAAGTTCGGAAAACATTGGAGAAAACTTTCTGAAAGAGCATTATAATGGTTATTTTTGTGAACCTTATAATACCACTTGAATTTAAACTTTTTGGACGTTATTGGACAGTAATCAAAGAGCTTTCAGTAGTCAAAGGACAGTAATCAAAGATAACAACTTAAATAGTTTTTGAGTAAATATTTCAATACAATTTGATTTAGTAATTTTGGATAAAATTAGACAGCAATCGAAGAATTCTTAGAGGGGAATTTATTGAGCTTTAAAGCACTGAGTACTACTTGAAGTTAGATGTATGGGCAAATTTAGACAATAATCGAAAAGCTTACTGAAAAAAAACATGTTAAGGGGTATTTCAGTAAGCTTTAAATGCAATTTAAATTTGTGATTTAGGACAAAATTAGACAGTAATAGAATAACTTTCCAAAAGAGCATGGTAAGGGGTATTTAAGTAAGCTTTATACACAATCAGTGGGTATTTAATTAGCATCAAAAACCAACTTAAATTTATTAATTTTGCACAAAAGTGAACAGCAATGAAAGAGCTTCCGTGTGTATTATGGTGAGTTTTAAAGCATAACTTGAATTAAATCATTTTTATGAAATTAGACAGTAATCGACGAGCTTACTGAAATATCATGACAAAGGGTATTTGAATAACTTTTAATACAATTTATTTTGGAAATGCAGGACAGCAATATAATATCTTTCTGGAAGAGCGTATCAAAGGGTATTAAAGAGAGCTTTACAATTTGCATTTAAAAGTTGCGGACAAAATCGAACAGTAATCTAAAAACTCACAGAATGAACATAAAAGGGTATTTGAGCAAGTTTTAAATAGACTTTGAGTTAGCGATTCTGAACTAAATTGGACAGCAATCTAAGAATTTTCTAAAAGAGTCTATCATTGGTTATTTTAGTGAACTTCGAAGTCCTGCTTGAATTTATAAATTGTATACAAAATCGAACGGTAATTAAAGAACTTTGTGAAGAACGTGTCTATGGATTACATAGAATATAACTTGAATTAAATAATTTGGACGAAATTGGACAGTAATCAAATAGCTTACTACAAAAGCACATCAAGGGCATTTTAGTGAGTTTTAGAGAACAACTTAAATTTAATAATTTTGAACAAAATTTGATAACAATCAAATATTTTAGTGAACGAATCTGCTAGGTTATTTTAACGAGCTTTAAAAGTCATTTGGCTTGAGTTCAGATGCAATGTTCCATAATGTCTACTCTTAATGCACGCTTTTGAATTTCAAGTGAAAAATAAAAAAATGAACACTGGACATCACAAATTAAAAGTTAAGATGAAAAAACAAAAAGATTATCAAACTCTAACGATTTACTATGCAGGAAGTCGAAGTAAATAAAGGTAATTATAATAATTATGTTTTACTTCCCTTAGTTCCCTGCAAGAATTAAACTTGTTTTGACATTATAAATGATGTTGCCAACGGAAACTGAAAGGAAATAAAAGGAGATAATTAAAAATTAAAAACTTCTTCAACATTTCCCCTACAATCTAAGCATTTTTTCAACTAAAACGCAAAAGGCGATTATTATAAACATCTTTAACTCTACTTTCCTCAATAGTAATTCTTCTGATTATTAGAAAATTTATGTGTTCTTCTTTTTTAATCGTTTGCATAATGATTGGGGACCCCTACTGAATAATTTTTTTGGAAATTCTAATTACATGTATTAAGGGTGGTGAATCAAGATCCCCATAAATTATTAAGGCGAATTAATTTATCTAAATTCATGCATAACAAAACATAGTGCGAAATTCCATTCATATTCCATTAAATTATTTCTAAAAAAACTCGTTTTGAAAATACTTTGTGAAACGCATTTAGCTTGAAAAAGAGCGAGGTTTTTATTTTTTTCCCTCAGACATAACACAAATAAACTAGCCAAAGCCTACTACTAATACTGGTATATCAAACTTCCCAACAAAAATTTTTTCTGACGCAAAAATTTATGTAAAATTATATTAATTTTTCAGGAAGACTGCAACTCAACTTCTTCGGACAATGACATCACAGATCTCAGACGAAATTCATTGCTCAATGAAGGTATACCAAGATCTGATACAGCACTTTTCATCCCACCCCCACCTTTAGTAACAGAAGAGCCCCTGATAAAACCAGGTGGCGCCACGGTGGCCTTAGGTGTGTCTGCAGTCGATTTGACTTCAGGAAAGACAAAAACAATTGTTCTTCATACTCCACACTTGCATCACGAAGGAACTGCAAATCAGCCATCTTTGGTAACACTCGATGGCCATTTTTTATGACTCAATAGAAAATACTGCGCATTCTTATGACTCTCAACAAACAAACAAAAATACTGCGAGTTCCTAGCAGTGTTTTTCTCTTCAACTTTCTTACTCCGTGAGTGCCCGATGAAATTTTCCTGCTCACACAATTTTCGTGACGTAATGTGTTTTGTTGCTTGAAGCGTTGAACCACGTATCGTTCTCTATACTTTAAACCATAACTTATTTGAAAGTGCATCGTACTTTTTTTTACTGTGGAAGACAAAATAATGGTGATTCATTGTTTAAATAGTTAAAACTTTACAGTTAATAAAGTTGCGAGAAGATTCATGAAGCAAAGTTGAAGAAAGAAGTGAGCGGAGTATTACGAAATCTTCAAACTGGCAATAAGTTTTAAAAAATTGGAGATTTCTATCCCCTGGTGTGGAAATATGGAAAATGTTGGTATTACTAGAAAATAATGTGTTAATTAATGCAAAGTAAAATAATCAGCAAAACAGTTTCGTAAAACTTTTTTTTTTCAAAAATAGGGAATAAATTTAATGCATTTACATACGTTTTATTTACATCGCCAATACTAACAATCAAATTTTTCCCCTGAAGAATTATTTTATTTTGTATTATAATCACTTTATTGATGAAAATATCGGAAGAAACTTTTTCACAAATTTAGACATATCAGCTTTTGAAAATTCAGAAACAACAGTAAAATGTCCTATTATTTATCATTCACTTAATTTTTACCATTTTTTTACCATTTAATTAACAATATTAAAAAATTAAGCTCCATACATACAGTTAGTTGAACATGACCTGTTTTGACCTTAATATTTTGTTGTTTTTTTTTTCAAAATGTTGCAAGATACTTTCTTTGACTAAAATCTTGAGTTTAACAATCCAACATTTATGTTTTAATCGCAAATTATAATTGTAAAATATTTCAAACATATCTGTTAGTTACAAGAAACTTTAATATACATTTAATTAAAATACATATCATATTTGCAAAATCAAAAAATATAAAGCATATCAAAATTGCAATTTTAAACAAAATGACCGTTTGTCCTTTGAATTAATATTTGTCAATGTGCTAAAACAATCATAATAAAAAGGAACAATTTAACTATTGTTTTATTAATCAAAAAATAGGCTATTGAATTATAATTTATTAAATATTAAACTATTATATATTGTTTATTATAAAAACTTATCAACTCAAATTTTTCTATTTTAGAATTAACAAAGATAGTTTTCTAAGTTACATTTCTGCATATGTACACGGTTCAAATAGCGGCTCTGCATGTATTCACAGTTCTGTTACTTATGATTTTGACAAAATTAGTACATGACTAAACATGAAAATAATATCTACTAAACATAAAAATAATATAAAAAATGTTATTGAGAACTAATATTGCTTATATGATTACTTCATGTGTCTGATATCGCTGTATATATTTTACACACTAAAAGGATTAAGTGTACCTCTCTCAACTTCGATCTAAAGGGGTGTTACTTAAAACAGAAGAATGGAAATTTTAAATTAATGTGCTACCATTTTTATTTCAAATTTCTCTTCTTAGTTTGCATCATATTTGTAAGCCTTATATTAACTACATGCTTAAATTTCGAAATTAAATTTTTTTTCTATGGAAAATTAAGTAACTTTGCAATTGTTTTTTTTCCCTGTTCTCATTCGGTAAGTAATTTGTGCCATATTTACAAGTAATTAGCGTCTTTGACATAATATTAAATATATTATGAGAATATATTATCAAATATATAAGTATAATTGAATATTGAGTACAAAATTACAATGTTTTTTTTTCTATGTGGATCTGTTTTTTAAGAAAGAATAAGTAATAGTGCAATTTTTTTTCTTCAAATTTTCATGGCGCAAGTAATTTGTTCCTACTATATGATTAATTAGTCCTTTTTTACATAACATCAAATATATCGTGATAAGCCATACAGATATAATTGAAAGTTAAAGGCTTGGATTAACAATATTTTTCTATAAGGACATTTTCCAAAAGAAAAATAATTAATGGTGCAGTAGTTTTTCTTTTATATTTTTATGACGCAAATAATTTGTTCCATATTTGTAATTAATCAATTTCTCTAAAGCAACATCAAATATATTGTAAAAACTCATACAGATATAATTGAATCTTAGAGTAACAAAATTACAATATTATTTTCTATGAGGATCTGTTTTGCAACGAAAAATTAAGCAATGGTGCAATTATTTTTCTTTCATACTTTTAGAGATTAAGCAACTTGTTTCATATTTATGATTAGTTAATATCTTTGACGTAGTATTAAATACATATCTTAGATATTAGAAACATATCAAAAGTATTCAGGTTTCAGGCACACTACGCAAAGCAAAACTATAAGAATTTTCTAAGATTTTCTTTTCTGCAAAAATAATTTACCTATATTATCTAAACAAACCAGTGATTAGCTAAACAAGTTCCATCATTCAAGTACTACAATGTTTTTTTTTCGTATTTTAACGCATTGTATAATTACAGTTCTATGAAATTTAATCAACCAGCTTCAGCTCTACCTGCCACACTAAGGAGATCCCTTATAGAAAATTAAACTCAAATTACTTGAATAACTCACATTTTATAAGGAATAAATAAATAAATCGTCAAGTAGCAATTGTATATTTTAAATTTACGCAGTGATTATATTTCCAATTTCATTCTAAAGTTACTCTGAATCACAAAATGTATCGTAAAATTACAAATTTTGCAACGCATTGATGTATTTTGTAGTGATGAACAATTCTCGACTTACAATTCAATAATATTAGAACCTGATATTCTGCTGAACATTCCAATGCGCGCCGAAGATTTCAAGTAGTTAATTTAAATACATGCATACGAAATTAATGCAACGAATCGATACTCTATGGTTTTAAGTTAAAAAATTCCACTTTAAATCGAAGCTTTGAACACCAAAAGAGGTACACAAACGAAAACGTAGTTTTGAAAGTTAAATGTTATAAGTACCTGTAACCTTTTTTTAAAAAATGCGTTACAATTTCCGTTAAAAAAGTATAATAGATATGTGAACGAGTAACTATTTGTAAGAATTTATTTTGAAGTAAGCAAAAGGTAAACGAAGGGATTTATTGCATTTTATGTAAAAATGATTCTAAGGATAATTTAAAATCCTACTTAAACAAATGCTGATTTTGAGGTGATTAATTTAAATATAATAATTGTTTTACAACCAAAATTGAATTGTACTAAAATTATTGTATTGTAAAGGGAAAAAAATTACAGCAACAGAAAGTAGAAGTTATGAAGATGATAGGTATATATATTAAGTTTATACATTCAATAGCTTAAATTCCACGTTCAATTTAAATTTATTTTCTTTAGATCATATTAATATTTGGTACTTTATAAAATTTTTGTTACTAACAAAAAAGGCACCTGTCAAAGAATTTGTTTTTCCATTTAATTAAAATCTATCATCCCTATGCGTAAATTAGATATTAATTGATTGAAAAAATGACTCAACAAAAATTATCATTAGTAAAATGTTTCATTTTAGATTAAGTGTAAACAATAGAATAATTGAAATACACACAATGAAAATAAATGGTTTTTAAAATATGGCATTTTTGACAATAGATGTACACTTTTTCTCTGCGCCAGTATCACCTTTTGTTTGATTCACACTATTTCTTCCCTTTTTATCACAGTTTGAAAATTATTTTTTGTGGGTTGCTACACAAAAAAATTATTTGTTCTTCTGCCTTAGAAAATTTGTGCAAGATACTTTTACCAAACACAATTTTGACACTGAAAAACATTAAAAAAACTAGTTCACTGAAAATGAAAACATGCAGGACTCTGATTTAACAAAATCCCATGGCAAAAGACCTCACATTTTTAATAGCCACGCATTGTTTTCTCTGCAATTGTCTGCAATTTTTCTTAAAAAAATAATTTTTTCATGCTATTATTCAGGTTTTTTTGTAACAACTAACAAATATCTATTTAATTCATGATTACGCACAGTGAGGCCTTCAACAATACTATGCCTACAGCCCCAAATTTCTAAATGGAGTCGTTCCTTAAACTTAAGAAAGAACATTTAAAGTGATAAAGTAAATATAATATTTGAAATAAGCACTTCAAAATCTCAAAATGTTTTTAAGGATTCCACCATTAACATAAAACTCAATCAAAACTAACATATATTTTAAGAATGTTATTTCTCTTTGCATTATGTTTTTATATGATATAGAATAAATATTTTCTTTTTCATTATTAGTAGATATAAGATTAAACGTGATTGTCTACAGAAATGTGAAATAAAGTTAAATATGTGGCTGTAATAGTTTGATATATCCATATCTTCATAAATATGATCTGTTTTGAAAACCAGTGCCTTCTTGACCAAATACGTCATATCGATTAAATATCGATACCAATGAGCTACATTCAGAGGCTGAAAATGTAATAGATGTTCATAAAACATTTTAATCGTACAATTGATAATTTTTCTGTTCTATGCCATACTTGAGATGTGCAATAAAACAAATGCTTTTGTATTTCATGTTTAATATGTACATTTTAAGAAATTTGTAAATGCGTAATCCTACATCATTATATGTATTTGATTTTTTTTAATCAATACTAATTAATCTGGTTAAGAGATTGATTTTTTTTTCACCATGAGACTCGTTTATAGTTTATTTGCACTTTATGATTACTAGATTACAATAACTTATTACGTTGTAATACTATATGCATAAAAACGAATAAAGATGCATATAAAACTATCTTACAGTGATTTTGGAGGAATTGTAAGGCGATTTGTTTTATTATACATCAAGTCAATGTACGTGTAAGATATGAATGTGTGAGTTAAAATTCATTCATGTACCAATAAAATTTTGTTTTTATCATAATATGTGTGCTTCACTTACACTAAAAGCACAGTTTAAAAGAAATGTTTCTCTACTGTAAGTACAAAATTAAAAATTATTTTCATATGAATTTTGAAAATAATTCCTTCTAATATAATTTTACACGCAAAAAGATATTTTTTTTACTCACTGCAACTTTCTAATTGTACAATTCTGATGACACACTACAGCTACAAGGCTCAAAACGTTTTTCTTTTTTAAAAAAAGTCTATTCAGAAGCCTCTACATTCCTTCAGTAATGTTTCTATGAGCTTTTATTTTGAAAAAAAACATTATGCTAAAAACGATTTTTGGGTGTTACCTTGGAAAAGTTTACTTTTTAACTAATTCAGTCTTTCGAGATTTTCTTATAGATTCAAAAATACTTTCAAACCAATGAACAATTAATCTAAAAATATCCATTGCTGTGTCAACAAATATTTCCAAATAAACCGATGTCAAAGGTTTGAAGCTAGATAAATGAAAGTTTTACTTTAAACTAATTGATAAAGAAATATTTTTACAATATATTTGCCAAAGTGATACAATTTACTCATTCTTCTAATTTTACAGAGGTTATTTGGACAATATTTCCTTTCAACACTTGGCAGCTCAATCTTTCTACGTTGCAGCAAATAGAATTAGCAAATATATTTAAGGTAATTACGAGTAAATTTTGAAATATTAGTTTCAAATCTAATAAAAATATGGCAGCTCAATCTTTCTACTTCGCAGCAAATAGAATTAGCAAATATATTTAAGGTAATTATGAGTAAATTTTGAGATATTAGTTTCAAATCTAAAAAAAATATGGCAGCTCAATCTTTCTACGTCGCAGCAAATAGAATTAGCAAATATATTTAAGGTAATTATAAGTAAATTTTGAAACATTAATTGAAGATTCGGAAGTTGCTGCTGAAATGTATATCATTCTATCAGTCATTCCTTCGAGAAGTAAATAAAAAACATGTAAGGATTTTCAGAAACGTTTTTGTACATATGAGAGAGTT